AGTCTCATAAAAACATTCCTGCCAAAAAAGTATTCATGTGTGTGTGAGTGAGTGAATGTGGGTATCTCAAACCTGAATTGGATCAAAACAGATGACCTAGTTTTTCAACAAGTTAAGGGGGTAAAAGAGACATGGATAAGAAACCTAGATGAACAGGGAACAGAATATCACAGACTGAACAGAATGTGATCTGGTTGTGGTTCTGAAGGCTAGGAAGTCCAAGGGCATGGAACCAGCACCTGGCCAGGGCCTTTCTGCTCCTCATCCTATGGTAGAAGGCAGAAGGGCAAGAGAGGGCAGGAGTGAGCAACTGAGCAAAAGCCAAGCTCGCTCTTATAACAAGCCCACACTCATGATAACTAACCCATTCCCACAATGTCAATGCTAATTCACTCATGAGGGCAAGGCCCAAATGAGCTAATCACCTCTGAAGTACTTGCATTGGGGGTCAAGCTTCCCACACATGAACTTTGGGGGATACAGTCAGACCATGACAACAAGAACATATGAATTAGTGGCAATTCATGAACCTAATTTGAACAATCAATCAATAAGCAGTATATATACTGCTTATTCAAATTAGTTATTATTACTGATTGTTCAAATTAGGTTAGGTAAACTGGAAAAGCTGTCCTGTGGACATTGTGAAAAGTGTGAGGACTGGTACTGTATCATGGAATTGTTTCACTTCTGCCTTTCTTCCTTTGTTTTTCAAGGCTAGTTTCTGCTCAATTTTTTATTTTTTTATTATAAAATTGTGGGGTACAATTCAGGGTTAAGTATACAAACGTTGATTATGCAGGCACCCTTGTTGATGAGGTATGCTCCTCCCTCGCCTAGCAGTTTCCCTCAACTGCCAATCCCAACCCCTACCTCTCCCACCAATCCCTTTCTTATACTATTATAATTGTTCAAGGTCCGCTTATGAGTGAGAACACATGGTACTCTGTTCTTTATTTCTGGGATAAATCACTGAGTATGATCGAATTCAAATCCATCCAAGTTGCTGCAAAGTCCATGTTTATCTTTATGGCTGCATAGTATTCCATTGTGTATATGTACCACATTTTTTTTTTATCCTGTCCAGCTTCCATGAGCAGTATGGTTGGTTCCATGTTTTTGCTATTGTGAACAGATGGATGTGTATGTATGTGTGTTCATATGTCTAGTGTGTGTATGCATCATACATAAGACAGGTAACTGGGGAAATGTGAACTCCATATGGAAATGGTTAATTTTTTCAATATAATGAAGATAACTGCCTTACAGAAAAAGGACTCCTTATCTTTTGGAGAAATGTACTGAGATATTCATCAGTGTAGTGGTGAACAATGGTACAATATATGGGATTTGCTTCAAAATTTGGGGGACAGTGAACAACAAGAGGGTTGAATGACAGTGAGTTGAGATTAGTTTAAGTTGGGAGATAGGTATATAGGCATGCATTGTCACTGTTCTCCCTACTTCTGGGTAAGACTAAAAAGCTCTATAATAAAGTTTAAAAACCATATGAAGACAAACAACAAGATTATATAGCAGATATTAACAGCTGTTAATAGAACACTGATTACACATTCTAACTTAAGAGTCCATCATGATCTCCCAGGAGCTTTTTCAAATTCTGGACTCTGAACTATCACTGTCTTAATGGAAAAGACTGAAAGAACAGTGTCACACCCTTCAGGACTGCAGGAATGGGAGAGAGGCTGAAAATCACTATGTAAGCACCTCAAGGGCAGAGAAGAAGTACTCTTTACCCCATATTAATCTCAATGCCTGGCACTTAGAGGTACTTTTGGTGAATGAATGAATGACCTAGGGATGCGCAAATGAATAGGCAAGCTTAACAGCAGCTAGTGGCTAGATGTGCAAAAAAAATCACTCATTTTTGATATTTTAAAAACTTACTCAGGTTACTGGGCTTAAAGAGCATGGTTCTCTGTTTTAAGTGGAATGGGTTTTCATAAAGCCACAGACTAGTCACTTCAAACAGCTACAAGTAAACACCCAGAATAAAAATAGTTTTAAATACACAATTGGGTGGGGTGTGGCTAGCAAATATTCTGATTCTACAATCTGTTTTGGACAAGACAGTGCTTCTTATGTGACTAACAAAGCAAACAGCAGTCAGATTCCTTGTGCTGAAATAAGTACACTATTTGCAAAAAGGGTTGAACATCCAAAGTTTACCAGTAAAGACACCACATTTTCCAAAACTAAAGGGAAATATAGAATGACAAATATCCCAGATGTTTACATATCCCAGAAAGAAGGCATGCAATCACCTAGTATAGATTTTTTTTTGTCTCTAATAAGTTCTACCATGAGGAACAGCAGAATACCTCCAGCACAAGAACAATCTAATTTGAAAGCTGGGAGGAGCTTAAAAACCGCCTTGTCCAAACTTTTCATTGTGTTGATAAAAAACAGACATCTAGAGAGGTTAAGGAAAAAGTTCTGGAAATAGCTAGGGTAGCCGCAGGTAAACAAATGGTCCACACAGGTACACAGCTACACAGGTATTAAGAGCTGAAAATTAATCTACTGGATGTCCACATGAAAGATAACTAACAGGGTTTCAGTCTCAACTATAAGCAAACAGGAGTATGTGTGCATGTATGTAACCATATACAAAACACTAGAATATATATTTCTAATAATTGCTTTCAAAACAAATTCTTCAACCCAGCCTTCAAGGGCAGTCATGTTACCTCACCTACCTTTTCAAAATCTTGTCGAAATGAACCATAAGCCAATGGAAGGTGGCCACTTTCTCTCACTAATTGTTCATGTGCTCTTGAAGATGTAGCAGAGTACATGTAATTACAAAAGCTAGTCCATATATAATACAAAAATGATGAGAATAATTACAACATTAACTTTTCTATTCTGTTAACCTGAACTGATAAAAGCCTTATTGCATGTATATCTATGGCTATCATATAGACGAATATATAACAATGTAGATTTTTTACTGTGTCAGTCAATAGAAAGCTTAGAAGTGAGAGAAGAGTCAGTGAGATGAGTTATCCATTTACATTTCCACCAAGGGCTACACAAGGATTTAGCTAAAACACACACTGAAAAGGTCCTGCATAGGGGAGGGAAGGGAGAAGAAAAAGGACAAACCTTTATTTCAGCCATTGGTTAAGCAATCAATTATTGATCAATCCCGAATCCATACTACATTTATTCTACAGAGATACAAAAATTATGTATCCATGCCGGTGTACGAAATTCTCTTTCTCAACTAGTTCACCTGTATAATCAATTTGATCTAGATCCAAAATGATGAAATTAAATAAGATATAAAATTTGGGCTCTCAATTTCCTGTCTTTCCTAGATTTTTTAGGATCCCGAAAGTTGATTTTAAGAGTGCCCTAATATTGTTAAAGAGACTCTAACTATGAAATTGACAACATTAACATTTACTTCGACCTTTGGGGAAAAAATATTTCTAATTAGGATGATTCAAGATCCCCAAAAGAAATTGCAAGATAAACCAATGATATTTGTGAAAGCCAAAAGCAAAGTTTGAAAAATCATTTTTGTTCTGAAATAAACATAGCAACCTTATATAAGTAAACATGAGATTACCAAGATAAGGGGTATTTGCAAACACTACTGCAACTCTAAAGTAAATTGAAATTTAAGCAAGAAAATCTGAAGCCATTTACTGAATACAGGGTAGCTGTGAAGAAAGAATCAAAATCCTTCAGCAATTATATTGTTAACTCTACTCTCAAATTCACATATGTCTCTGTCTAAAAGTTTAAAAATATTTAATATGCTATATTTTAGATTTCTCTTATTAACTTACACTAAAAACATGAAATGCAAAACAGCATACTGAGATTTTCACCATTTTGTTTCTTTCTCTCAAGCCTAAAAGTAAGTTAAAAGTTGGTGTAAACTATTTAAAAAAAAAATTAGGGACAATGATAGACACACTGATGGCTTTATGTAATAATTGAAGAATTTAGATGATGGTTTAAATCCAAACCCCTCCCCAAATAATTCTTCATCTAATTTTACATACTACCAAATACTTTCAATCAAATAACACAACAACATGATTTTCAAAAATAAAAAGAGGATGTCATCATTCCATCACAAACTAGCCTGAACACTGGAATAACAACTTCTAAAATAAAATCTCAGAAAAAGATGGTGACTGGTTAAAACTATTAATATACATTTTTAAGACAAAGAATTTATTTTTCAATAAGAAAACAAGGAAAAAGAGAGCCCAGTTTGATCATGTGTGCCTGTCCAATAGAACTTTCCACCATAATTAGTGCTTGCCACCTCTGAGGGGAGGAGCCTAAGCTCAGGGTAACCTCATGTCGGAAGAGAAAAACAGTATAAATACCACAGTGCAGCTCTGGAAAGGCACCTTCTGCACGGCTCACCTGGGCAGAGAAGCTTCAGAAAGTTGCCCAGACACCTCTCACCAGGACCCCAGCGCACAGGTAATCTCTGCTTATGGTGCACCTCCATGCTAGCTTGCTTGGAGACAATCTCCAATGATTTAAGGTTCTCTCTGTGACTTTAAAAAATGGCTTTCTACTAAAATGCACTCAGAAAGTCTTATTTGTATCTGTCTATATATGATAGTCCTAATAAAACCATATTGTACAGATTTGTCCTAATCTGAATGTCAGTGTATTTTGAAACTACTGGATATTCAGGCTATGTCAAAGATCCTGAATTATTTAATACAGATATCCAATAATGATGTCTCTTTTTCTTTTTGTAAATCACTTTATTTTTACTTGATTATTTGAATGTGTCTTCCAAAAACAACTAAGACATATATTCACAAGAGTACAAAATAATCTCTTGTTAATTTGTGGAATATATTCAAAATATATAGGATGGGATAAAAAAAAGTAGACAACTGTATAAAGAATTCACCTGTAAGTTAGAATTTAAAACAGGCCAATAACAAAATTGCATACAACTATCCTTTTCTGTTTTTCAGAATCCAGCTGAGAATATGCTGCCACAAATAGCCTTCTTGCTGCTAATGTCCTTGAATCTGGTTCATGGGTTTTATGCCGAACGATACCAAACACCTACCGGCATAAAAGGCCCCCAGTCTAACACCAAGACACAGTTCTTCATTCCCTATGCCATCAAGAGCAAAGGTAAGTCAAGTCATGCACTCTGCTTTGTGAGCCAATTCCTGGGGCATTCTGCAGTCTTGATAATCACTTTAACCAAATACCTTTAATGATGTTAAGTATTTTCAAACTTCTAAATGGGCCCAAATTATTACAACAAAGTGATGTGTGAAAAAGCAGGTCTATTCAAGAATATTAGTATCCCTTATACAATGAGCACAGTAAGAAAGTATACACCTGAAAGTACAGTAGAAAAATGTATCTGGAGAATATCAGCAACCTTTATGTGTAGAAATGTTTTCTTCAAATGTTTTCTCCATAAATAGCTACACAAATCCAGAAATATTAATATAATCAATATTAATCAAGCTTAAAAATTTTAAACTAAAAATAATTGCCAGTTGTGCAAAGAAAGTAGCAGGGTTATATATCTAACTACTTAAAGATTTACTCTTAAAGCCCATTCAACTAGCCCAAAAATAGACACGAAATTGGGTCTTAGCAAATAAAGCCTGATGCTCTCTCAAACGAATTTAATAGGCAAATTAAGAATTCTCATGATGATTTATACACTTTATATATAGTTTAGTGGTAAAATGCACAGACCTAGCTGCTACATACCAGATGTGTGATCTCAGAAAAGTTATTTATCCACCCTGTGCCCTGGTTTCCTCATTTGTAAAGCAAGGAACAGCCATCTCACGGGCTGCCGTGGAGTTTAAATGAATTATTATGTATCAAGTGCATTAAGTGTTGCTGTTGCTTCTGCTGCTGATGCTGCTACTTCTATTACTCCCAGGTCTACTAAGCTGTTCTACCAGCACAGCCTTATTTTCTTCTAGACTCTGGTTCTCATCTATCTCTGTCCAGCTTTCTCGTATACTGTGAAGAGAACTGAGACAATACATATAAAGTATTTTTTTTTTTTTTGAATTGGAGTCTCACTGTCGCCTAGACTGGAGTGCAGTGGCCGCTCCCGGCCACCGCAGCCTCGACCTCCTGGGCTCCAGCGATCCTTCCACCTCAGCCTTCCAAGTAGCCAGAATTACAGGCGCGCGCTACCACGCCCGGCTGATTTTTTGATTTATTGTAGAGATGAGGTCTCGCTGCCCAGGTGGGTCTTGAACCTGTGGGCTCAAGCAATCCACTCACCTCAGCCTCTCCAAGGCGCGGGATTACAGGCTGAGCCACGGAGCCCAGCTAGAGATTCTTAAAGAAGGGAAAACTCTAGGCCTTACATTCACCAATTCCACTGATTAACATCTGATACAAACTGCCTATAAAACAGTTGCTGAATAACATAAACTGTTTGCAGGTTTCAAATTTCTTTTCTGTAATATTTTTCATTTTAGTTATATATTTTATCCTGTAAATAAAGCAAAGGATATTTGCTATGAACTTTAAATATTATACTTTTGGGAAAAAACGTTTTGAGCAAATGAAACAGGATATTTTTTTAAAGAAGAAAGATAAAATTTAAAATATTTCACAAAAGTTAACCTAATATTTAAAAATAAACGCACAGGCGCACAACAGATACTCTTGAATGTCTCTCAAAGGATAAACAAACTTAAAAGCTAGGAAAGAAAAATAACAGGCAAAGAAACTTTCTATTTTCCTCAAAGCAACAAATGCAATTTGAAATGCTCTGACAAGCAGCACTGGATTCAGTAGCCTCAATGATCACAAATTCAGACTTTTTTATTCCTTGCTAAGATCACAGTAAACAGTCTTGAATTAAAAATAAAATGCACTTTTTAAAAGGTTACAAATATTTCTACCTTCCCCATGAATACACTGCATCATCTTGGCTATTTTTGCAGAACATGTAAAAATATCTTGCTAACAAATGAAAAGTTCAGAAGTTGCATTTAAACTACTAAATCCACCCTGGTCCCTTTTTTGACAACACAAGGTAGAAACTCAACTACATGATCACTCATTAGTGGGCATGAATACACAGTAAAGAACACAAAAGGCGACAGTTTACATAGGTAAAAGATTAAGCTGATAACAAACTCAAAGAGTCCTATGCAATTCCTCTTCAACACAACCTAGAAGAGAGTTCAGCCAGACATACTACATTGTGCTGCAGAGAATTTCACAGGTACCACATTCTGACACATCTTTCAGTTTGTGGCATTTCAGGAAGTTAGCAGTAGGGAGTCGTTTTCCCTTGATGATACGCCACCCTAATCCTGAATGAATTTAATTTTTCAAATGACAAGTTACAAACAGGGGCTGCCCCCAAAGACTTAACAGAAGTCAATTTTTTTCTTGCACTGAGTTTGAAGACCCATTAGGACAATTTTTTCCAAGTGACAAAGATCACCTTGTCACTGGAGTTTTAACTGCAAATGGTGCCCAATGCAGTAATTTTCATTGACTTTTTTATCCTCTTTATTTTAACAGAAAAACAGATTTCCAATTAGACTGAGACAATTCTCAGTCATGAACATGATCCTTATAATCAGATTCTGAAACAAACCTCAATCTAACATAGTTTTCATTTTTGAAAATTTGCTATTTTATTCAAAACCACTAAGAAATTCCAGATCAATCAATGAGATCTTGGCTAATATGTGGAAATTTTTTACAAACATACATTTTTCTCACAGTCTTCTTCCTGATATCATTTTCTGAAAATCCATGGAAAAAACTCTGTAATTAAATGTTTATAAATTGAAATACAACTCTAACTGGTACAAAACATAAAAATACCAAAATCGAAGACAATTACTTTCCTTCAGTGTCTCTAGTTCAGTGATTTGCTCTGTATTTCAAGTACAGCAAATGCTTGTCAACTCTCAGGGTGTCACAACCCTTCCCCACTCCACACTTGTAACCCAAGAGCATGTTCTACTCATGGGCACTAAATAAGTGATGTTCCAGTTAAGTTTAGTTTATCAGGTCAATGAACTCACAGTTCTATGAATTAAACGATATTTACTTGTATTTAGATAAGCACTTCAGTATTATTTTATGCACCTTCCCATTATGTCTAATTCTCTAATTCTTTGTTTCAATTTTAATACAATCATGGAGAACATAAGAGCTCGGTAATACTGAGGCTAAAAAAAAAAAGTCAACCTAAATCCATGTTTAGCAGGACCATGGAAGATGTAAATTAGGTGTAGTTCTGTTTGTTGTTCATGTCTGACAGGACAACCTTGTGAGGGAAAACTGCTATAGCTCATAAACATTTTCTCCCTTATCTGTACTTGTCTTTTTCTGCCTTTAGAGTCTCTCAAATATCTCCCCCCGCCCCACTTTTCTTTCTAGGTAGATAATTTTCTCAAACAAATGTGATAACTTTACCCCCACTGCACTCATTCTATGGCAAGTCTTCAACTCCAGCTTATTTTTGTGGATCATTAAGCTGTAATGATAGTATTGTGGTCACCATGGTTTTGTGAAACCATCTCCTCTAGCAGTGTTTCTTAAAACAGTATAAAGTATGTCACCTAAAACCACTTCAGACTGGTCTGCCTACATGGAATGAATGACACTGCAATGTCCTGTCCCAGTTTGTATTCTGAGAAGCAGTGGTTATGTCTACTGTACTAACCTGGTGTACTGGGTATGTCTTTCAGGAATACCAGTAAGGGGAGAGCAAGGCCTCCCTGGTCCACCAGGCCCCGCTGGACCTCGAGGGCACCCAGGTCCTTCTGGACCACCAGGAAAACCAGGCTACGGAAGCCCTGGACTTCAAGGGGAACCCGGGTTGCCAGGACCACCAGGGCCATCAGCCACTGGGAAGCCAGGTTTGCCAGGAATCCCAGGAAAATCAGGGGAGAGAGGACCATATGGACCCAAAGGAGATATTGGACCAGCTGGCTTACCAGGACCCCGGGGCCCGCCAGGGCCTCCTGGAATCCCAGGCCCAGCTGGACTTTCAGTGTCAGGAAAACCTGGGCAACAGGGACCTGCAGGGGTCCCAGGACCTAGGGGCTTTCCTGGAGAAAAGGGGACACCGGGCGTTCCTGGTGTGAGTGGACAGAAAGGGGAACCGGGATATAGTGCTCCTGGCCGCCCAGGTGAGAGAGGCCTTCCAGGCCCTCAGGGCCCCATGGGGCCACCTGGCACTCCTGGAGTGGGGAAAAGAGGTGAGAATGGGTTCCCAGGCCAGCCAGGCATCAAAGGTGATCGAGGTTTCCCAGGAGAACGTGGACCTCCTGGCCTCCCTGGTCCCCGAGGCCCCCCTGGGGAACAAGGACCAGAAGGTATCGGGAAGCCGGGAGCAGTGGGGACCCCTGGCCAGCCAGGAATTCCAGGTACAAAAGGATTCCCTGGGGCTCCAGGACCAGCGGGGCCCCCAGGGGCACCTGGCTTTGGGAAACCAGGTTTGCCAGGCCTGAAGGGGCAAAGAGGACCTGCTGGCCTTCCCGGGGGCCTGGGTGCCAAAGGGGAGCAAGGGCCAGCAGGTCATCCTGGGGAACCCGGTCTGCCTGGACCCCCTGGAAGCACGGGACCCCAAGGACCGAAAGGCATCCCAGGCAGCCACGGTCTCCCAGGCCCCAAAGGCGAGGCAGGGCTGGTTGGGCCTGCAGGACACCCTGGGGCTAAGGGTGAGAGGGGCTCTCCAGGGTTGGATGGAAAGCCAGGGTACCCAGGAGAACCAGGCCTCAGGGGTCCCAAGGGTAGCCCGGGGTTGCCAGGCCCAAAAGGTGACCCTGGCGTTGCAGGGCCACCTGGTCTCTCAGGTCCCATGGGCCCAGCAGGGGCCAAGGGGGTGCCTGGACACAGTGGTGAGGCTGGCCCAAGAGGTGCCCCTGGAATTCCAGGCACCAGAGGCCCCATTGGGCCACCAGGCATCCCTGGATTCCCAGGATCTAAGGGGGACCCAGGAACCCCAGGTCCTCCTGGCCCAGCCGGCATAGCAACAAAGGGCCTCAGTGGACCCACAGGGCCACCAGGGCCTCCAGGTCCAAGAGGCCATGCTGGAGAGCCCGGCCTCCCAGGGCCCCCCGGTCTCCCTGGCCCTCCAGGGCAGGCGGTCCTACCAGAGGGTTTCATAAAGGCGGGCCAGAGGCCCCTTGTGAGTGCCAATCAAGGTGTGACAGGCATGCCTGTGTCTGCCTTCACCGTCATCCTCTCCAAAGCTTACCCAGCCATAGGGGCCCCCATCCCATTCGACAAGATTCTATACAACAGGCAGCAGCACTACGACCCGAGGACTGGGATCTTCACCTGCAGGGTGCCTGGAATCTACTACTTCTCTTATCATGTGCATGTGAAGGGGACTCATGCATGGGTGGGCCTGTATAAGAATGGCACCCCAGTGATGTACACCTACGACGAGTACTCCAAGGGCTACCTGGACCAGGCGTCTGGCAGTGCCATCATCGACCTCGCGGAAAGCGACCAGGTGTGGCTACAGCTGCCCAATGCAGAGTCCAATGGCCTGTACTCCTCCGAGTATGTCCACTCCTCCTTCTCTGGGTTCCTGGTGGCTCCCATGTGAGCACATGCCCATGGAGCTCATCTGAACCTTCGGCTTGGAAAGGCATCCCCCACCCCGCCCCGCCCCACAGAGTGCAGATGGAGGTAGGCTGAAAGGAACGTGAGCAGTTTTTATTTTCCAAAGCACAGATGTGAGCTGTAGACTAACAAGTCTCCCCCCGGAAAAGCGAGCAGGAAGGTAGACAATATGTGAAGACCTTTCGAATTTCTAGTCAGCAATTCTAAGGCCCTTCAAAGTTTTCTGTGAACTCCTTCAATATTTAAAAATTTTACCATAGAAGTCTTGCTAAGTTAAAAAAAAAAAAGTAGAAGACTCTACATTATGCTAAATTTGATTTTGGAAACTCAGTATTTCTTTCTAAAACAAGTCAATTAAAATGAGAGCTTCTAGGAAACATTCAAGAGGTATCATATAACTTTACAGAACAAAATACTTGAATATTCAAATTTAAAAGACACTGTAGACCCTAAGATATTTCTGATGGTGCATTACTCTGAGGCCTACATGGCCTCTTTCATCAAGATCTATTCAAATATACAGGTGCATAAAGAAACAAAATATTGTGCTGAAGTCAATCTGAAATGCAAGGTGCTTTAGTCCATGGACCTTTTCAGACTTTTCTGTGATTGCAGAGAAGCTTTGTATCTACCCAGCAAAACTTGTGAACAGGTGTCTGATCTACTCTTATTTATTTAACACAAGTGTGACTAATTTGGTTTCCATAATTCCTTACTGAATCTTATGTGATATGATTTTGTGGGTTGACAGAACATTAATGTATGTACCTTGTGCCTTCCATTCCAGTGAAAACTATAATTAATGTCAAGGGCTTCAAAATTTGACTAGAAGTAAAGAGATATTATTTATTTTTGCTCTGTACTGTATTTTTATATTGCTGTGTAAAACTTTTAAGCTGTGCCTCACTTATTAAAGCATGAAATGTTTTACCTACTCCTTATTTACAACGCAATAAAATAACATCAAGAAATTTTTATGTTGAATTTATTTGAAAGCAGCAATTTGCTGTTCTCAACAGTTCTTTTAAGGCTTTTCATTTTACAAAGTTACTTTAAAAAAGTAACAATAAAGTGGTGGGTGGCTTTTATGGTTGTCCTGGGTATGCGCCTCTACTGGGAATGGGCATCTCCACACACCCAAGCAGTCAGTGTGGCCCGTGAAAGGGACCCCACAGAGCCACTGGTGACCTGTGAGCCAGGGTCACAGGGTGATGAGTGGGCACAGAGAGGTGACACAATCGTCCCAAGGCAGTGATTTTCTTCTGGGAGGGAAAGAAGCAGGTAGCAGAGAAATATGTAGTTTGAACAAATATTCTGCAGTTACTATGGGGGGGGACAAAAAACCTCAAATTATCTTTTGAAGGGCGGGTCCTCTGTAATACAGGCTTCTCCCGTGAGGTTCTAGAAACCCATCAGCATCAGTGGATCACCTAGTGTTGTTGTGTGAGGCTGCAAAACACTGAAACAATCTCCCCCCACCAAAAAAAAATTCACTGAAGCCAACAATGCTAGCTGGTACACTATCAGTGTATTATCATACTAACAGTCATGGTGTCACCAGTCTTCATGCCCAAGCCAGGAAAGAGCAAAGCTGGAGCCTCAGTGGCAGGGAGTCCCCAGAATGGCCCTCTTGGCAGGCATGGAAAAGACAGGTTAACAGCATAGCTTAGGGTCCCAGCAATGATGGTCAGGAAACAAGCATGAGTAGAAGACCCAGGAAAGTATCTGCAGAACCAACCTTATAACAATATTCAAAGTCAGATCAGAGCTCAAGTGAGAAGCCTGGAAGAGCAGGCGACTTCCCACTAGTTCACTAGACACATATTATTTAACAAACATTTACTGGAGCCTCTCTTCATGTTACTCACCCTTAAAGGCTGACATTTTATAATTGTGTTGTATACCGGCAACAATGTCCTTCCAAAAATCAAATGTTTTTTGACCATTGTTCTGCTAAAAAAAAATTTAAAAATCCCAAATGTAACAGATGCAATAATTCTGTTTTGATACTGTTTTTATTCTATTTGGTAGAAAATGCTGGCAAACAATTACAATACAGACGGTTCCCGACTTAACGATGAACTGACTTAAACAAATGTTTTTGATTTTATGATGGTGCAAGTGATACAGATTCAGCAGAAACTGTGCTTTGAGTATCCAAAAACAATTGTTTCTCACCTGCAGTACAATATTCAATAAATCTCATGAGATAGTCAATACTTTAATATAAAAATAGGCTTGTGGGAAACGATTTTGCCCAACTGTAGGCTAATGTAAGTATTTTGAGTACATTTAAGGCAGATCGATTAAATTATGATGTTGGGTAGGTTGAGTGTATTAAATGAACTTCCAACTTGCAATGGATTTTCAGTACTTAACCCCATCGTTAAGTCAAGGAACACAGGTATATTCTATATCCTATATTGTAAGACAGGAATTTATGTTCTAGGGAACTTAATAGGTTAATAAAGTTTTCATTCTTCTAAGTGTATTTTATAAAGAGAAATCTTACACATACATATACATACATGTCACTAAATACTAATATAGCTTATGAAACCCAAATAAAATAAAAATTTCCACTCATTAGAAAGTCTAAAAATTACAAAATTATATAAATCATTATAAAATATTTTAAACAGATAAGCAAATTTCCAATATTAGTTTCTAAGACTATGTGTTCTTAACATACTGTGACATCAGTGGGGCTAAGAAGCCTGAAGCTCTAATGGTTACTTTAGAATTCAGTGCACATTTGACCTAAATTATAATATAAAAGAGCAGCAAGTCTCTATAGGGGGGATGAATGAAGTTCCAAATCCAAAATGTTTATCATTTTTATTAAGATTTTTTAAAAACCAGAAAGCAAATAAATATGACATTAAAACACACAACCCTTCATCTGCTACAGGGTACTTCTTTGGGTTACCTGGCATTGTTTTAAACAAAGTGGCTCTTTGCGTCATATAAACCATTGTCCTCTATGTGTATTTCTCCCCTTGAAACACCGCAAGGAGAAGGGGCAGATGGACTAAGCAAGACTGAGGAACTCCTATGTCTACTAGCAATATTTCTATGACTATTAGCAAATATCATCCTGAAATAAAATCTGTGGTCGGGCTCGGTGGCTCAGCCTGTAATCCTGCACCTTTGGGAGGCCGAGGTGAGTGGATTGCCTGAGCCTGCGGGTTCGAGACCCGCCTGGGC